ACTGTTTTCATCATAGATAATAATAAAAAATGTTTCTTGAGCACCAAATCAGCATATTAGAAAGATTTCTGAAGGATCATGTGACAGGATTCCTTTGTCATCACAGGAATAAATTACGGTTTAAATAAATAGTTTAAATTGTAATAATATTTCACAACATTACTATTTTTACTGTATTTCTGATCAAATAAATGTAACCTTGGTAGCTTTTTCTTTAAACATTAAAAAATCCATATGACCCCAAACTTTTGAATAGTATAGTTTACATTTCGAGCAAATTAGTTGTTCATTTTACCTTCTAGTTTGCGTTAGCTTCAAATTATTAGTGATTTAATAAACTTATTTTGCATTTCACATGAAACTATGCAATTATGCTGGACCATTTTGTCCAGGCTACATGATGGTTGTATACGATTTCTTGTAAGGTAGACTGTTCAGCAATTTTGGACAGCTCCAGCTTTTCTAACACCCAGCGGCCTAATGTAGCCACAGATGTATAAACGTTAGGCTGGTTGTCACGATATGGTTCGTCTACTGTCTGTTTGACGCCTGGAGTGTGTGAAGCTGTCTGGATCTGAATAGACTGGGTTGTTTTGAGTTCATAGGGTGCCTTTGAGTCTTACAGAGATGATATTTCAGGAAAGATAAAACAGATCAATACAGTTTTGGATCTTTCTGGTGACTGAGTCACATGTGTATCCCAACCCTTATTGGTGGGTAGCACAGGCCACATGGTCAAGACCTGTCTGTGCTCATGGTGATAGGAAAAGGACTGAGCTGTAGTCTTGTAGGCAGTGAGGTGCGGACACTCAGTTATTCAGCCAGATTGTGTTTATGTGTGATATTCTTTACAATGAATGTATTTGTATGACAGAACTCAGGGAGACAGGAGGAAGGCAGATATATGTTTGTCTTTTCAAATTGGCACATATGTGCAAACAGCTTTCTGTAAATGTGTTGTTAAGGGGTGAGTAAAAGGCTGATGGAAAGTATGTGTCCGTGCTGATAGCTGGAATGTGTGCAACCTCAGAATAGCAGCTGCTGCAAAAGACCATCAGGAAATCCCCTCCAAGGTCATTCGGACTTGGTAACGTGTACGTGGGTGGATGATGTTTGCGCTAGATCTGGTTATTGACGTGCTAGCTGTTTTTCACAGTGTGCTCGTTAAAGGTTTATTTCAGTTAGGTGCAAAATCTTTCAATCACTCTGCACAACCTTTAGATACCTTAATCCACAGGCCTTGACCATGATTGCACTTGATTATCAAGTTATAAAAGGATTGTTGTTTCATTTAGTCTTATACAGCAGTGCAACCAACAACTTTGTCCTTGTTGAAAAACACATGAGCAATTGAATTCAAAGTCATAGAGTGAAACTCATAGATTGAATGAATAAATAAATAAATAAAGCAAGCCTGTTGTAGGACCATTTAGATTTTTAAGAAATAATTTAGAAATAATTTCAAATAAGCACATCCCATAATGAAAAATTAGTTTTATATAATGTTTATATTAGTGCTGTCAAACGATTAATTGCATGCAAAATAAAAGTTTTTGTTTACATAATATATGTGTGCGTACTGTGTATATTTATTATGTATATATAAATACACACACATGCATGTCAAGTCAAGCCAAGACAATTCAAGTTTATTTGTACAGCGCTTTTCACGATACAAATCATTGCAAAGCAACTTTACAGCAACTTGTTGAGTTATATAGTTGAGTATCATCGGCATAACAGTGGAAACTATTCCCGTATTTCCTAATAATATTACCAAGGGGCACCATGTATATCGAAAATAGCAGAGGACCTAGGATAGATCCTTGTGGCACTCCATATTTTACTGGTGATAGTTGAGATGACTACCAATTTAAATGAACAAGGTGGTAGCGATCGGACAGGTGGGATCTAAACCATCTTAAAGCCTGCCCTTGAATACCTGTATAGTTTTGTAATTGATCTATGAGTATGTCATGATCTATGGTGTCGAACGCAGCACTAAGATCAAGTAAAACTAGCAATGAGATACAGCCTTGGTCTGACGCAAGAAGCAAGCCATTTGTAATTTTAACAAGTGCAGTTTCTGTGCTATGGTGGGGCCTGAAACCTGACTGAAATTCTTCATAGAGATCATATTTTTGCAGGAAGGAGCACAATTGAGCAGACACAACTTTTTCTAAAATTTTAGACATAAAAGGAAGATTTGAGATGGGTCTGTAATTTGCCAGTTCACTAGGATCTAGTTGTGGTTTCTTAATAAGAGGCTTAATAACCGCCAGCTTGAATGGTTTTGGGACGTGACCTAAAGACAACGACGAGTTAATAATATTAAGATGCGGTTCTTCTGCTATAGGTAACAACTCTTTCAGTAATTATATATCATGTATATATTTTGAAAATATTTACATGTATATATGCATATTCATATAATTTATATTATTTATAAATATATTTAATATATAAACATAGCACATTATATAACTTAAATAGATATATGCATGTGTGTGTATTTATATATGCATGATAAATATACACAGTACACACACATATATTATGTAAACGAAAACATTTATTTTGAATGCAATTAATCGCGATTAATTGTTAGACAGCACTAGTTTATATATGTTTGGTATATTTTTTATGTTTTTGAAAGATGTCTTGTATGCTCACCAAGGCTGTATTTGTCAAAATGCAAAAAAAATTAAATGCAATTTAAAAAATACAGTAAAAACAGTAACAATTCAGAATAACTGTTTTCTATTTTTTATATATTTTACAATGTAATCTATTCCTATAATTGCAAAGATGAATTTTCAGCATTTCTCCAGTCTTCAGTGTCATACAATCCTTCAGATATCATTCTAATATGTTGATCTGGCGCTCAAGAAACATTTGTTATCATTATCATACATTTTTAATACTGCTGTGCTACTTAATATTTTCTTATTCATTTTTTACATATATTTTTACATTTGTATATATATCCATATACAAAAATAATTAGCATTCTAACATTTCACAATCTAAAGAGAACCATTGAGAATACTGGGAAATATTATTATATAAACTTATATAAGGATGCAGTGCAATAATTGTCATCAAAAATGGTCCTAAAATATGCTTAATTTTCATTATGCAAAATGTCATTTCATATTTTTGTCTTTGATTTTGGGATGAACTGTTTACATAACATTCACCCAAAAAAATTAACTGTTTTAAATTCAAAATAAATAATACTTACATTTCAAATGTGAATATTTTCAGTGCTTTTAATTAAAACCAGCAGCAACCATTAGATTAGCACTTTTACATCTTTGTGTACGAAGAAAAGCTGAGGACAGCAGGGAGGGAAGTGGGCAGATTTACTGGTAAGTAGATTATTGAAGTGATAAGAGATGAATACTGAGAACAATAGCTGTTAATCTGAGTGTTGATGCCTGAAAGCTGAGGTGGGGCTCTGGAGGACGTGCACCAGCACAGCACACTGTTCACAAGGAATGGTAAAGCGGTAGGGAAGAAAGATGACCCATTAGAAAAGATAAAGCCTTCCAGTGCTTCATTACAGTGCTTACAGAGGGTGTTCTGGTTTGTACGTTTCATGAAGCAAATTACATGCATTTGAGTGTGTGATGTGATCAGTGTGAAGTTTGTAAACTGAGACAATAGACCAAGGACATGAAGAACCAGTATCAGGTGTGACATCTTTAACGTTAAAAGTGCTTACATCAGTGATATATGCTGTCCTGTTTTTCATGTGTTCTTGGGTTGATTAACTATCTGACGAGTGAATACAGTCAAGAGAAAATCGAAAATTATATTATATTAGAATGGTTACCATTGGATTCTTAATGGAGTATTATTTGAAAACCTTAAACCACAATTATTTGAAAAGTCTTAGAAGTGAGTGGTCTGCATTATACAGTACACTGTCACTGTACAGAGAATTTATAAAGCCCAGTCTCATAAATATGAACGCTGCTTTTCATATGAGCATGAATTGCTTCTTAGAACTGTTGTGATGATTAGCACTTTATGATGGCAATTTACATTTTTATAGCAAAAGGCCCTTAAAACTCACGTCTGATTGTTATTGTTCTCAATGGAACTCTTAATGTTTTTGTAACTTTATGTCTTTTATGATATATTCGCATACATTGCAATATAAATTGTGTTCAAAATACTATCATACTATGTATGCAATAGGAACAATTTTTTCCACTGTCCTCATATTATTTCTATCACGAAAGTTTTGCAAGACAATGCAAAGGTTCTCGGAGGAACTCAGAAGTGCTGAAATATAATTTTTCATTTCATCTAAGTTTTTTTCCATCACCATGTCCCTTTAGTGCATTTTCCAACAATCGCTTATGCATTTTTGCTTTTAATAATGGTGGACTTTCAGAGACGTGGCAAGTTGTTGGTCATAATTTTGTATATTGTGAATAATTTATGGTTGCATAATCTATAATGCTGCATATTCTATAATTGTTCTATATTATACTGTATTATATTATATTATATTAGCTGTATTAAAGTGACCAATTTTCCATTGGCCAATTTTATTAAAAGTAAAGTATATGTTTGCATATGTAAGATACAATATGTTTCAGGCCATTAAAGATTAGATGATTAGATAATTACTGACAAGAATATATTGTGTTATCAGACATCCCTCAGTGCTGGCTTGTTTAATATATAAATAACTGAAGGTTGAATTTATGTGTATTATTTTGTATGTGTCTCTAGGTGAACTAAGCAGCTAGTGCTATATTGGGTATGAGATACAAGGTGTGTCATGCTCTTTTTATAGTAGGATGTAGATAATGAACAATATTTCACTTATTTGTTATCAGCGCAGGTCATTACCCAAGCCTAGCCTTGTAAACACATTTAAATTGATCTACGTGATGCAGAATAAAATTACGCAACTGATTTTTGAGATTGTTGGTTGCCCCAGGTTTGTAATGAGAGAGCTTTTTATGTGTGTTTTAGAGCAGCTGGTGCTGGGGGCATACAGAGAGCTACGTCAGAGCTGGGACAAAGACTATGACCACTTCCTGCTCCCTCTGCTGGACCCTCACGAGCCCTGTTACATTCTATACCGGTTGGACACCAAGAACGCTCAAGGCTATGAGTGGCTCTTCATCTCCTGGTCACCTGACCAGTCTCCTGTAAGTTTTAACATCTAGACATGACGATGTGAAGCTTGATTAGCAGAAACAGCTTATTCAGTTGTTCAAATAAACATACACTGTTAAGGTTTCAGATAAAACAAAAACAGCTGTAAGAAGGTTTGGTGAACCGAAGAATAAAAACCACTCAAGAACCTTTATTATATTTAAATAGAACAATCTTATTTGCATGCTCGTCGAAATACGGTTCTTTGGACTTTAAGCAACCTCCTAGCAACCAATCAGAACACACTAGCAACGGCATCTGTATGTATTGAAACACTCAGTACATCTTAGAAACTGCAGTACAATGCCCTGGCCTTTTTTTCCAGAAAATGTAAAAGCGTAACCACATGTGATAATTGTGGAAAACCGTAACACCATTGTGTTTAGAGCAGTGAGCTTTTATTTTGTTACTGTTATTATTTAATAAAGTGATAACTTGTCTTTTGCTACAGGTCCGGCAAAAGATGCTGTACGCTGCCACTCGCGCCACAGTTAAGAAAGAGTTTGGTGGTGGACACGTCAAAGATGAAATGTTCGGCACAGTTGAGGTACTAGCTGAAGAATATTTTATGGTAGCAAAATTGGTTAGTAGTTTTGTCTATACTTTTTACATTCACTTTATCATTTTAATTATTAGATTTAAATCTTTAAATGTTCACCTCTGTGAAGGACTAATGAAGTTATAATGAGAGACGTGCTGATGAATGGACTCAGTCCACCTGTCATCTGTCTTCAGCTGTCTGTCAAATACCCTGAAGCTGGATTATTTACAGTTGAAAACGTTTACAGAGTGGACCACCATATTTCTTAATTTAGTAACTGGACACTTGGGGCTGTTGGCAATGTTCTTGGAAATGATTACCAGTCATGGTCAACACAGAAAGGGCTAAATATATACTGTACATACACATAAAATATTGAACAAACAACTTTGTAGTTTTATGGGAGGAAGTTGTTGTATATTTAGTTGAGATTATTTATAATTTTTACATTTTGAAAAAACTATTTCAGGTTGTCTGGAAAGTGGGAATAAATCTATAATTCAATAATTAATAATGTAAACTTAATTATCAGTTTTGGTTGATTACTTATTATTCACATTGGTTAAAACAAATATGTGACCCTGGACCACAAAACCAGTCATAAGGGTCAATTTCTCGAAATTGAGATTTATGCATTATCTGAAAGCTGAATACATAAGCTTTCCATTGATGTATGGTTTGTTAGGATAGGACAATATTTGGCCGAGATACGACTATTTGAAAATCTAGAATCTGAGGGTGCAAAAAAAATCTAAAAATTGAGAAAATCATCTTTAAAGTTGTCCAAATGAAGTTCTTAGCAATGCATATTACTAATCAAAAATTAAGTTTTGATATATGTACGGTAGGAAATTTACAAAATATCTTCATGGAACATGATCATTACTTAATATCCTAATGATTTTTGGCATAAAAGAAAAATCGATCATTTTGACCCATACAATGTTTTTTTTGGCTATTGCGACTTAAGACTGGTTTTGTGGTCCAGGGTCACATATTAATATAAAAATAATAACATAATAAATATTATATAAATAAAAAAAAGTGTTTTATTTCTGACAAATTTAAATAATTGCCAAATTAACATCAAAAGTGCACATAAAATAGAGCTTTTTGTCTTTTTTCACCATCACCAGGAGGACGTTTGTCTTCAGGGGTACCTGAGACACGTGACTTCTTGTTCTGCACCAGCACCTCTGACAGCAGCTGAACAAGAGCTACAGCGAATCAAAATCACAGAGGTGAGAAAAGACTGTAGACATCCATTTTAAAAAGCATAATTATAGTAAACATCCCTGAATTAATTCAGCTCTTTGTTTTAATACATTCTATGTTCAATCTTTGGGGTTGCAGGGCAGAGTTAAACAGGTGAGCACTGTCGTTAGTTTAATATAAAAATAGTATTGTGTGTATGTGTGCTAATTTGTGTGCTGTGTACACTACAGCGTACTTCCAACTTTAAGGACAAACCTCATATACGTCAATCAATTCACAAAGACTTTTGAATCCTCTTGATTTCAAAACAGAGTGAGGACAGAGAAATTACATGTATATAAATATAAATAAGGATTTTATATACATGGTTTTATGGTTGTATATGGTTTTGGAGTCAAATATGGAGTGGACATGCTCTTAATAGGTTTCATGTGATCCACCCATATGGCCATGCTCATCTACACTCATCCAGCATATTAACACTTTGCTTTTCTTTCCACTCTTATCCACTCTTATCTCTCACCTGCATAAACAAATTTATCCAAACAACAGAACTGGCATATAATAAATCTTCCATGACCAGGGTAGCTCATTGGAATTGTTTGGGAAAATGTTTTTAATAGAATGACAGGAACTGTTTTGGTCATAATGTACAGTGGTGGAATTGGTAACGAACTGGTTGTGTCTTTGTCTGTAGGTGAAAACTGAGATCAGTGTGGACCCCAAACATCAGACTCTACAGGGTCTTGCCTTCCCGTTACAGGCCGAGGCTAAACGTGCTCTACAGCAGCTCGCAGAGAGACGCATCAACTACATTCAACTAGTATGACACAGACACACACATTTATATGTTCTTACCAGATACTTTCTTACCAAACTGGCTAGAAAATTTAAATTTTTTTGTTTTCTATATATAGAAGCTAGATACAGAGAAGGAGACAATTGAACTTGTGCACACCAGCCCAACAGAACTCCGTGACCTACCCTGCCGGATCCCCCTTGATACACCCAGATACCACTTCTTCCTCTACAAAATATACATGGTTTTATGGTTGTATATGGTTTTGGAGTCAAATATGGAGTGGACATGCTCTTAATAGGTTTCATGTGATCCACCCATATGGCCATGCTCATCTACACTCATCCAGCATATTAACACTTTGCTTTTCTTTCCACTCTTATCCACTCTTATCTCTCACCTGCATAAACAAATTTATCCAAACAACAGAACTGGCATATAATAAATCTTCCATGACCAGGGTAGCTCATTGGAATTGTTTGGGAAAATGTTTTTAATAGAATGACAGGAACTGTTTTGGTCATAATGTACAGTGGTGGAATTGGTAACGAACTGGTTGTGTCTTTGTCTGTAGGTGAAAACTGAGATCAGTGTGGACCCCAAACATCAGACTCTACAGGGTCTTGCCTTCCCGTTACAGGCCGAGGCTAAACGTGCTCTACAGCAGCTCGCAGAGAGACGCATCAACTACATTCAACTAGTATGACACAGACACACACATTTATATGTTCTTACCAGATACTTTCTTACCAAACTGGCTAGAAAATTTAAATTTTTTTGTTTTCTATATATAGAAGCTAGATACAGAGAAGGAGACAATTGAACTTGTGCACACCAGCCCAACAGAACTCCGTGACCTACCCTGCCGGATCCCCCTTGATACACCCAGATACCACTTCTTCCTCTACAAACATTCACATGAGGGAGACTACCTCGAGTCTGTGGGTTAGTCACTCAATTCCTTATACATATCTCATTGAGTACAGTTATGTATTACAGTTATGCAAACTATTCATGTCCTCCCCTATCCCTCTCCATAGTGTTCATATACTCCATGCCAGGATACAGCTGCAGCATCAAGGAAAGGATGCTGTATTCCAGCTGTAAGAGTCGACTTTTGGAAGAAGTAGAGAGGGACTTCCATCTAGAAGTGGCTAAAAAGGTAAAAACACATTTTGTGACTCGTATTTCTCCCAGCATGAGAGTTACAAGCCCAGAACTTCATTAAAAGTCAGCATGAAATTAAACGCATCCCTATTTACTCCAACCAAGCCAATCAAGATCCAGATGAGTATCTGAACAGATTTGGAGAAATTGAGCATTATATCACTTGCCTCACCCAAATGGATCCTCTGCAGTGAATGGGTGCCGTCAGAATGAGAGTTCAAACAGCTGATAAAAACATCACAATAATCCACAAGTGATCCACACGACTCCAGTCTATCAGTTAATGTCTTGTGAAGTGAAAAGTTGCATTTTTAAAGAAACAAATTCATCAAGATGTTTTTAACTTCAAGCCTTTGCTTCTGGTCAAAATATCTATAATCCATAATAATGCTTTTCCAGTGAAAAAAAGTCCATCCCCTTTGCTTGTTCCTCACATCAAAATCCAGTGGCATATCCATTTAGAACTGTTTTTGGAACAATTGATCTGTGCATATTTCGCTCCTGATCCAGAGAGAATTACCTTTTCACTGCAGAAAGCATATTTTATCCAGAAGCAGTGGTTTGAAGATTAGAATGTCTTAATGATGGATGTGTTTACAATAAGCATGCAGCTTCACAAGATGTTAAGTGATGGACTGGAGTCTTGTGGATTATTGTGATGTTTTTATCTGTTTCGGCTATCGTTCTGACGGCACCCATTCATTGCAGAGGATTTTTATTATATTCATTGTATTTATGTGTATTTTCACTCAATATCTTGTTCCATTCAGAAATATGTCACGATATGGAATGAACTGCATTATAAATGTATTTTCATGTTGACTTTAATGAATAGGAGACACTTTATATGCAGTTATATACTTATATATTCTATGCAATACGAAGCTGACCAAACCGATTTTGGTTACAGAGTTCAAACAGCTGAGTGCATAAGACTGACATGACACCTTCATAATCATGACATGACACCTACATAATCAAGACATGACACATGTCATGAATATGAAGGTTTTTTATGCATGTTTATGACAACTGTCATTAAGTGTCATTCGCTCAGTTATGTAATTTTTAATGCAAAGATGACATTGTTTGAGATGTCTTTGTTATGGGCTATGGTTAGGGGTAAGGGTAGGTTAGGGTTAGGTCAAATAATGTCATATTTGCATTAAAAATGACATAACCTAGCGAATGACACTTAATGACAGTTGTCATAAACATGCATAAAACCTCCTTCATATTCATGACATGTGTCATGTCATGATTATAAAGGTGTCATGTCAGTCTTATGCACACCCCTTCAAGTAAAGTGTTACCCAGATTTTTCTAAATCTTTGTGTTTGTAAATGTGTCCTTGTTCATTTTAGTTGGAGATAGATAGTGGAGAGGAGCTGACAGAGGAGTATCTGTATGATGAGGTCCATCCTAAGCAGCATGCCCACAAGCAAGCATTCGCCAAACCTCGTGGCCCTGCTGGGAAGAGGGGAAACAAACGTCTAATCAAGGGAGGTGGAGAGAACGGTGGCAACAGCTAGGAAGGACAGAAAGCAAGAAGAAGAGAGAAATGAACTTTAGTTGTACCCTAAATGTTCCCTTTTTATGCCTGTTTGCAGGGTAAATTGTTCATCCTGCAGAGGGTGTGAAGGAAAAATTGGAATACTGTGCTCAGTTGTTGTTAATTCAAAAATTTCGTTTTGTTTTACTTTTTACTTAATGTTATTAGGTGTTTATTCATTTGGTGTGTTAATGTGCATATATTTAAGAGTAAAAACTCAGGAATTAATTTTATCTGTACATTTTCTGAGCATATTTTTGTTACATAATCTCATACATACATACGCACTCAAAACTCAATATCATTTTAAGCATATTAAAAGTGTTGATTGTGAAACATGATAGATCACTTATACTTTAAATGTGTTTTTAAAAAACAGAGAATAAGTTTTATCCAAGAAGCTTTTTTTAAAACTGAAGCAGTCACAGGTCCTACAGAACCTACAGCCATTTCATAGAAGAAGATACACTCATACATATACATTCACACCAGAGCCAAATGTGACACGCAGACAGAATGTTATACTTGGCTACGTGAGAGCTAGTCAGTTGGTTAAGTAACAGATATGTAGCAAGAATCGGATATGGTAAAAGGTTCAGGTTGAGACATGTGATTCAGATTAATTTCAGGATTCATATTTTTAAAAATATGACATGAAAAATGTTTATGTTTTATAGTTACAGTTGGGTTTCTCAATTTTTTAAAAAAAACATATCTCTAGTATCTTTCATATCTTCAGTCATTTACTTACATCATGGTCCACAGTATTCACTGTCAAACACAGTTTTGTGTACAAACTTCTGTTATTAATCACAACAATTCCAAATAAAACATTTTTGTATGTCAATTATCAACATTTTTCCAGCATTGAGTGAATAATTCAGCAACTAACAAGTGAAATATTTAAAATCATTAAT